TTCTCAGCCTCTCCAGTGTGGTGCAGCCATTGTTGGACTACTTGGACTCTATCCTGTGAGCTAAGCTGATAAATCTCTATACATATATATATATTCATTCTATCAGTTCTGTTTCTTTAGAGAACCCTGACTAATACAACAACCTCAAGATTTTGCTAGTTAAGACTGACAAAGCTATACTGACGACAAAGCACAGCACAAATGGCACCTAATGATGAGTGAAGGGTTATTTCCCTGGAAGAAAGTATCAGTAATTCCATCGATTTGGCTTTTACCGTAATTGGGAAAACCAAATACTTGGCAGTTTCCTAGCTTGAAGCCCTAATGAAACTTCTCTTAACCCCTGTGGACCTGGCGCTGGGCTGTCTCTCAACATTCTTCCTTTGATACTTCATTATATAGGACAAATGATTTTATTGAGTTTAATAAGCTTAATACTCATTTTCCAACTTCACAGTGTAAAGTAAGACACGTTTTAAAGACCCCATGCATTTCTCAAAACAGTGGCAAGTTTGCTGCACCCTCTAATACTAATAGCAAGGCAGTGCTGTGCATTGAGGGTGTGACTATGATGAGGAGGCGGACCCAGCAGGTCCACCCTTGGCAATCTCAGACAGCTCTTACTGGAACAATCAAGGTCTTACCTTGCAGGAATCTCACTCAGACAATTCTTACTGAAGTTAACAGAAGTGATGATGTTGCTTTTCACGGCATCAAACACGTCATCAGGAATCACAGTTGCTTGTTTATCACTAAATAAAAGTGGTTTAAAAACGAAATGTTCTTAGCAATTCAGAAAGATATAAAATACTACCTTGTTTCTAAACGCCTTTCAAGATTTTATAAAATTTTCATGGTAGCTGAAGTTCTGGAAGACAGAACATGCTGCCAGGCCCTCTCTGCACATGCCCAGTCACGAGAAGGAGGAAGCTGGAGGCACCTAGCAAATGCAGACTGCTCCTCTACTGCTGACCGGAGCAAAGCCCAATTTTAAAGCTGAGCTGCTAACCTTTCCTTAAGAGCCTTTAAGAAGGGCCATCGGTGACAGCTGCAAGATAAGAAGAGGCCTTTTAACCTGATTAGTTCAGGCCAGTCACCTAGACCGATTTCTGCTTCCATTGGTGTGTGGCAAGATAGACACAGCAGTAGTCAGAGGGCTGAACTGGGTCAACACTAATGAGCTTTGCAATTCACCTTCTCTGAACTATACTGCTTTGGAATTAGAATCTGAAGAGCAAGTCATTTTTATGCCACATTTTTTGCAAATTTAATACAAGTTTCCTTTCATTTGAAATTTCAGGTCTGGGCATGGTGGCACATGCCTTTAATCCCAAACACTCAGGAGGCAGAGGCCAGGCTGATCTACATAGCCCCAGGCCAGCTGGGGCAACAGGGAGACCCTGTCTAAAAAGAAAAAAGTCCTCTGCCATTTGTATCCTTTTTCTGAAAACAGTCCATTTCTTGGACTGTCTGGATATCAGCCTCTTGTCTGGTGGGTGGCCGGTTAGGGTTTTCTCCCATTCTGTGGGCTGAGAGGTGATCTGCTAATAGGTTTCTTTGCTGTACAGAAACTTACTTCCCTTCCGCTGCACCCCTTGTGTGTATGTCTTTGGTGTGGGAACTATTTGTACGCACTAAGGACAGCCTGAGTCTTGCAATTCTCCTGAGTGCCCCCCGCAATTGCCATTTGAATGAGATGTAAATTCCTCAATCTACACAGGCAGAGGTAGGAGGAACTCTGAGATCAAGGCTAGCCTGGTATACATAACAAGTTCCAGGCTAGCTGGGGCAACAGGGAAGACCCTGTCTCAAAAAGACCAAAAGAAAAAAAGAAATTTCAATAAGGGTTTCAATAAATGTAATATACCCCAATATTTGCAGATCTATCAATTTGCAGAGGTATCAAGTATCATTTACTTAGGTATTATGTACACATGTGCATACATAATTATTAATGCTTGATACAGTGTCATCCCCTTAAAAGAAACCCGTGGAGCGGTGGGGGAGCAGCTGAGGGAGCGAGAGCCTGACAGCAGAGGAGCACTACGGGAGTGGGCCTGGGCCTAACTCGGCTGCTCGGGGCCTCAAACTCAGGTTGCACAGCTGTGGAGATGTAACATCTCCATTCTTCCAGTCAGAAACACTCAAGCCACAGGAAACTGACGCTCCTAAACTCATAGTGAGAGCATTCATGCTCTGAGAATGTGGACTGATCTCTATTTTCGTTAGGGTACTTTTCAAATTAAAGTCTCTGAGAGAAACTGCCTAAAATGAGAAGAGAATTTAAGCAGCCTGAGGTAATAATCCCCACCACTGTTTTTAAGACACCTGACACTGGAGTCCGGACTACTGACTGAGTAAGCGGGGTGTGCTCTGTGGAAGACCCATTGTGCTGCCACACCACACGAGAGGAGAGGAGCACACAGATCCCAGTACAGAGGTGGACCTCCTAGGTGGACCTCCTTGGCACCTCCTAGGTGTACCAAGAATCTCAAGGCGAAAACCATGGGAAGGAACAGTGGGTGGAAGCTGTGGTTCGTGGGCGCAGGAGAGGATGGGGATCTTGTTATTTGCCGGGTGTGGTGGTACACCTTTAATCCCAGCTCCAGGGAGGCAGAGGCAGGCAGATCTCTGAGTCTAAGGCCAGCCTGGCCTACATAGTGAGTTCCAGGCCAGCTGGGTTGCGTGTCAAAAAGACCAAAAAAAAACACCAAAAAACAAAACCCCTCACCTCATTATTTATCTGCCTGGAGCCTGTCCTCCCTCCCCACTACCTCAGGCTCACAGGAAGGAACCGGAAAAGGGTGTGGCAGCACCGCTAACCCTCGCTGCCTCCACCCTGTGCAGCACTGACTCCTGACTAGCACCTCAGCCTGGGCACAGCCATCCAGCTTCTTCCCTAACTGAATGCACTCCCCTCGCACATAGAAATAGGCTTTTCTTAATTTACACAAACACTGTGATTGTTTCTGTTTTAATGTGTATCCCCAGAATACAACTATTAGACGCTACTGAAGTTGTATTCAAATAAACTAGAGTCCACCTCTCAAACTCTGTTTATTAGTCAAGGTTTTCATTAACTAAATGATACTTTTTTATTTAACAGACTCATCCTTGAACATAAAATTTTCTCTAGGCGATAACTACTGAATTTGAGAACATCAAAACTGTCGCTCATGTTTTTATAATAAACTCTTACTATAAAAATACTAGTATTGGGGCTGGAGAGATGGCTCAGCGGTTAAGAACACTTCTTGCAGAGGACCCGGGTTCAAATCCCAACACCCACATGGCAGCTAACAACTGCCATGTAACTCCAGTCCCAGAGGATCCGACAGCCTCTTCTATCCTCCGCAGGCATTGCATGACATGGGTGCCCTTACCTACATGCAGGCAGTACACACATACACATTAAAAAAAAAAAAAAAATACTAGTATTAATCCAACAGTCTCTCTTACACAAATCACATAAGGAATGAGCATTTGGGGTCAATATACTTTTTTATAGGTCATTATACGTTGAATGTGCTTTTATTTCATCAAGTTTTTGCAAATGCTACTAGTTGGAAACAGATATTCCTGCCAGGGGATGCCAGGCAGGAAGAAAGAAGAAGTCCTCTTGGGCCGTCTGCCACCCAAACAGCCAGGACAGGCAAACACCATGTCTGCTTTCCTAGACAAATGGCATGGTCAGTGTCTGCAGCACCCTGTAGACAGGGGATACACAGAGAGGAGGCAGATTTCACACGCTATAAACTAGATTGGTCTTGCAACAAGAGGCAGACACACAGGCTGCTGTTGACTAAAGAGAAACCAACAGCCAGGTTTCAAGCTGGCCACGAAGGTGCAGGGGAAAATGATGGCACTCAAATGCTCCCTGGCTCCCTGGTTCTCCCGGCCAGTGGGATGATAACAATACAGCCTACAGTCGGCACTGCGGCTTCCGGACTTAGACACACCCGAGTGCTGGGCCACCGGAGCAGCTCATAGCCGACCACAAGGCTGACCCAAACACTATCCAGAACAAGTGTCTCTCTTGCTTGGCCAGAGAGGACCACATGCTGCTTCCACAAGAAAAGCTGTCTCACCACAAGGAGAGCAGCTGTGTGCCTTCTTCTCAGAACACGGGCTCGAGGCACCTATGCTCTCTCCCCGAGTGTACCAACCCTCTAGGGTGTAGCTCTACCTGTGCTGTGCCAAGGGGAACATCCGACCTTGCCCTCTTCCTTCTCCTTCCCCAAACCTCAAGAGTACCCCCCTCTCTGACTCAAGTTCCCTTCAGTCCACTTTTAAATTCTTCTATCTACCATCCCAGGAACCTGTGCCCATGACACTCGCCTGAATTTCTCCCTCACTGGCTGTCCTTATTTTGAAGGGTTCCTTCTCAACAGTTTCCCATTCCATGGGAATGCATGATGAAGACGCATCTCATACCTATAATCTAGCAGTTTTAGTGTGACGATGGCATGGATGTTGACTCTGGACTCACTGGGCAGTGTCATGGCTGTTTCAGGAACAGAGTTACTTTGATTAGGTCCATCATCTGGAAAGCAAAAGTTGTATGAAATGAATATTTATACTACAAAGACATCTTTGAATTGTTAATGATACATAAGAACAGTATCCATGATTTCTAGATATTATTGATAATACCTATAGCCATATATTTTATTCCCAGCAATTCAAAGCTCATTTAAGAATATAGTTAAAGCCCGCATGGTGACGCACACCTTTAATCCCAGCACTTGGGAGGCAGAGGCAGGTAGATCTCTATAAGTTCAAGGCCAGCCTGGTTTACATAGCGAGTTCCAAGACAGCTAGGGCTACAGGGAGACCCTGTCTCAAAAAGACTGAAAAACAAAACAAAACCAAAAAATACATTTAATAGAAAACAAAGTTCTAACAGTGTGACTTAAAACAATCCTTTCTCTAATAAAGAAGAAGGACCACACAGGAGAAGGACCACACAGGGGAAGGACCACACAGGGGAAGGACCACACAGGGGAAGGACCACACAGGTGAAGGACCACACAGAAAATGCTATTTCCCTCAAACTCTACCAAATAACATAACTATCTTCTCACTTAAGATACGGTGAAGGTAATTATCCCCATCACTCAAAATCTGGCAATTTGTATAATGAACCTTTTGGACATTATATTGCTGGATGTTTTTCTTGGCAAATGCCAAGGCTGTATTTACTGCAGACATTTTCTAGCATGCACGTGCTCACATCTTCACCTACCTCACTACAGAAACCCACCACCCTACAGTGAGGACAAGAACAGACAGCAGCGAAAGCAGAACCTCCATTTAGAGAAATGGCCTTGTCAAGACTTGGAGAATCTAGGGAGAACTAAAATAAAACAGATGGTTTTCAACAGTGTGAAAGGACCTGACAGTCCTGGAGTCCTGTGTAAGAGAAGACAGGACAAACAAAGACAGACAGAGCAGTGGCACATGCCTGCAACCCCAGCCCTTCTCAGGGTGCCAGGCTGGAGAGACAGCTCAGCAAATCTGACATACAGAACGGACTCCTGAAAGCCTGTGTCCTCCTGCATGCACTTGTCTAACCCATACATTAGTAACCAATTATTAAATTAACAAACAAAACCCCAAAAGAAAAAAACAAAACACAAATCTTTGTAGCTGATGAGATGGCTCAGCAGGTTAAAAAAAAAAGGCACTTGCCACCAAGCCTCAGGACCTGAGTTCAATACTAGAACCTACATGTGGAAAAGAGAGGAGACCAACTCCCCAAAGCTGTCCTTTGACCTCCACACATGTGCCATTTCAAGCACTAGACAGACAGACAGACAGACAGACACACACACACACACACACACACACACACACACACACACATAATGTAAAAAAGGAAAATTTTGATTTGATTATTCTGACATGACCTCTCACTGGTTCATGTCAGACTAATTATTTTTCCCTAAAGGACAAAACATATCTGAGGAAGAAGGAAAATTCAGTGAAAGGTAAGAATTTCAGAGAACTTTCCGATGGCTGATTTAGGACTGAAGGCTGCCGTCCTCCTCAGTACCATGCAAGGAGCACCCGGTGCTGCATGGACATGATCCTTGCGTGGCAATGCGCCCACAGAACCCACTTTTGTCTTCCGTCATTGACCCTGAGACAACACAAACTAGGAACTGAGATACGCCCACTGTCAGTGAGCTCTACAAATGGACTCATGAGAAATAAACGGACAGCATCACTCTCACTTTGGGTGTCTGTTCACTCAGGATTTATAATTCCTGCCACACTGTGGCAGAGCTGGGAGTGGAGAGGGGCTACGGACCCCACCGCAGCCCCAAGTCAGAACTCATGCACACACTGAACATGAAACTCTGATCCTTTTACAGTCAAGTAGTAGTTGCTCACTAAACTTTGGTAGGCCACATCCAAATGCCTGAAGACAGTGCATCGGTATCATGATTTTAAACTTACAAACCGGCCCTGGGAAGGTATATAGGAACACAGGGTTGGGCCACAACTGCCAGACATTTCCCTTTAATATTCCTATCTGAAGTACATTTAAATTGATGTCTTGTCAATATCACACTTCTCACAGTCCTTCAGAGCACAGCAGGAGAGAGGGAGTACCTTTGACCTTGCTTCGTAGGTGTTTCAGGACTTCCTGCGTTCCTTTCTGAAAGGGTGAAGACAGAGGCACCCATCAGCAAGACACAGTTTGCAGCTGTGCACTGACCTGTACATGTGAATTTCACAAACAAGCTGAATTCTAAATGTACTCACAGCTATAATTTCTCTTCGAATAGTTCTTAGAGGATTCCCTTCAAGAGCCAGGAATTTCAAATGAAGGGTTCCCAGTGAACAGGGCAGACTACGAAGAACAGAGTGAGTTCAGGGAAACAGTAAACACTAGTAAACTCCAACCAAGGAGGGAACTACAAAAAATGATAACAATTTCAAGAAAGATCTGAGAATAGCACTAAAATATTTCCCCTCAAAATAAATGATAAACACGAAAAAGGCCACTATGTCTCCAAGGCTGTCATGCTGAAACTGCTAAAGATGGGCAGGAGCTGTGAACACTGGCTACACTGCACCCAGCACCACACACAAATGTCAAATGTCTCAATCTGAGGACAGTGACCTCTGACACACCAGATGAGATCTTACGGGATTACAGCTCTGAAATTCCTCAGGAACTGATTTGTTAAAAACCAAAACCCAAACAAATTCCAGGGTCTCACTGTGCAAGACTCTCACAGGTGCCTCGCAATCTGTACTTTTCCTTTACTGCTTCTTAAAGGATCCCAAAGCACAATGGGCTTAGGAAACAGCTATAACAAAGGGAAAGATCACAGCGTTTCAGGGACACAGATGACCTGAGTCTTTCTGCAAAAACTATTCCAGTAGTAGTTTGAGGAGTAATGCTGTAGTTAGGAGAAAGCCTAGAGGGGTGCAGAAGAGCTAGAATTGCCATGAGTCTTTTCTTTGGTAATAGCGCCTCCTTGCTGCACCAAGCCCCACACTTCTAGTTGGTGCCTAATCCTGGGAAGCCCCAGTCGATCTCCTTTGGTGTATCAGCTACTTTGTGGGGCTGTAATAAAGGACCATGACCAAGGGGACTTGTAGAAGGGGCTTCCAATTCAGAGTGTAAGTGGGGTAGGTGGGGTAGGCATGGAGGGAGGCAGCCAGAACAGAAAGCTCAGAGTCCTATCTTTGAGCACTCACGGGAAGCAGAGGGACAAATGGACATGGGCAAGGACACAGCCCACCCTTGCTTCCTCCTAAACCTCCTAAAACAGTGCTACCAACTGGGGATGGGCGTTCAAATACTTGAGCCCATGGGACATTCTCCTTTAAGCCACCACGTTAGTCAGTACTGCTGGTTACTTCTGCTCTAATACCGTCTAGCAGCTCACCACCGTCCCCGCACCCACTCTGCTCCTCTGCAGCTCAACACAGCCAGCTGCTAGAGACAGCTTATCCTGGTCCATCTCCTTTTACGTCTGTCATCCTCTCAGTCCCACTCTGACCACATTACAGGCCTCGTTATACAGCTGTCAACACACAATTAGATGGACAAGGCATTCCTTAGTGACAAATATTATTAGTTTAAACTAATAAAGCTTTTTAAAACTCTTCCATTTACAAAAGCCCTCCTACCCAAGGCCTCTCACCGACTACCACTGACTGATGGTTCTAACAAGATAATACTCAGGGCAGTTCCGTTCATCTTTTGGTGGCTCTGAAATAATGAAAACTGGTTATCTGCCCTAATTCTTATGACTGCCCCACATGGACCCCATTTAGAGTTCCCAAAGCACTGTCTGTGCTGTTTCCTCCTGACACATGGGTCACACACACCAACTGTCATGTGACCTGAATGTTTAGTCGTTGTTTTAAGGTCATCTGGTGGGACTCAGGAGAGGATGGTCCTGATCACTGGTGTGTTCTTAAGTGTGTATGTCCTGGGCAGCTAACTGCTTACTCTAGTCCCAGTCAGGGGCCTACTCCTCCCTGGACAGCCACACACTTCCTCTTTCTCTTATAACCCCACAGACCCTATGACACACCTTCTCTGTTGAGGCATGGAGCTAGAGCTGGAGCTGTGAATGCCACAGATGGACACTGTTCTTAGAGTTCTGTGACTGACCTCCAGTGGTGTCCACAGGTGTATTAACTTGGCTGCCAGGATTGCTGCTCTTTCTTTATAGCTCAATAGTCATTTCAAATTTTTGAAAAAGGATTTTTTTTTTGAAATTACACACTTACAATAAATTATAATCCAACATGGCCGTGACTTCTACTGTCTAGTCCTTTGGTTTTCCAACTCACCTACTAATATCATTGTTGCTTAGGTCAAGTCTTTCCAAAGACTGCAGCAGAGCGATCTCCTCAGGAACGGACTTTAACTTGTTGTCTCTCAGGTCCAGCACAAGGACAGCAGTCAGCTGCTGAAGATGCTCGGCCTGCAGTGTTTCAATCTGGTTTTCACCAACATGTAATTCCTACAAAAACAATCAAGTTATAAAAATGTCTGTTCAATTTTATATTAAGGAAAATAAAATTATGGATACTTTTAATTTTAAATAATTGAAACACATTATAAAAACACAACTTTTAAATTACTATTTAAATTTTCAAGTAATTTTAACCTACTTTAAAGCTACAATATGGCAAAGAGGAAAAACTAGAACAGAGAAACAGTTTACTGATTACATGTGTAGAAATAAAAATATAAATCAAGGGGCTGGAGCGATGGCTCAGCGGTTAAGAGCACTGACTGCTCTTGCAGAGGACCTGGGTTCGATTCCCAGCACTCACATGGCAGCTACAAACTGTCCTTAACTCCAGTTCCAGGAGAATCTGAAGCCCTCTTCTGACCTCCACGGCATTGCACGACACAGGTGCACTTACATATGTGCAGGCAATACACTCATACACATAAAATAGAATAAAATATTTAAATACACACACACACACACATACACACACAGAGGAATTAGTTCACAAGTCACTTACAATGCAACATGCTATGTAACATTATCACTAGTGATCATTCTAGAACTGCATACAAAAGATCAGCAGAGTGAATTGAAACTTCTCCAGCACTTTTTATTTTTGAGACAGGGTCTCCCTGTAGCCCCAACTGGCCTGGAACTCAGAGATCCACCTGCCTCTGCCTCCCAAGTGCTGGGATTACGGCATGTGCCACCACACCTGGCACCTCCAGTACTTTTAAAAAAATCACTGCCACAATTCTACTTAAAAAAAAAAAAAAGAAACAAAAACTTAACATTAATATGTGCATGTCTGTAAAGAAAAGTAACTTATGCCAGGTGTGGTAGTGCACACCTTTAATCCCAGCACTCGGGAGGCAGAGGCAGGCAGATCTCTGTGAGTTCAAGGCCAGCCTGGTCTACATAGTGAGTTCCAGGACAGCTGGAGCTACAGGGAAACCCTGTCTCAAAAAAACCAAAAAAAAAAAAAAAAGTAATTTATTTATAAGGCCAAAACCTTAGTTCTGAAATGTGATCGAGAGCAGGTAAAGGAGAGAGGTGGCAGCTCTGAGGATGTCTGCCCACGGTGCTGTTCAGGCCCCAAGCTGGCACTGTTCCAGCTCCCAAGAAGCACTGCTCCATCACCAGCCGCTCACCAAGCGAAGTCCACAAACCCCACAAAAAAAGTCCACAAAAAAATTTTTTTTTCTTTAATAAGAGTTAATCATTTTTTTTTATTTTATGTGCATGAACTTCTTGCCTGCAGGTACATAAGTACAGCACATGCATGCAGGTCAGGAAAGGAATCAGATCCCCCGGAACTGGAATCACAGTTGTTTGATAGCTCTCATGTGGGTGCTGGGAACCGAACACGGGTCCTCTACCAGAGCAGCAAGTGTTCTTTATTACAGCCGTCTCTCCAGCCCCTAAAATAATTACTTAAAAAAAACATCTATTACCAACAAAATATCAGTACTGTCTGTACTGATTTTCAAAATTTGGAAACTGTCAACAGAGAAAACACAGAACTTAGAACTAATACCTATGTTCAAAAGGAAAGTAAGATTAGCTACTTTTTAAAACCTCATTTTCAGAAACAACTTTCAGAAAACACACAGTCGTGTATTAACTAAACGGTACCTTCAAGATCCTACAAGAAAGAAATTCTGGCAGAGCACGTAATTTGTTCCTCCGCAAATAAAGCAATTCTAGAGACTCCATGAGACCCAATTCAGGAGGCACAGTTTCCAAGAGATTCGAATTACAATCCAAATGCTTTAATCCTGCAATAAACATTCATGGATAATAATTACAACACTTCAACAGAGAAAGTATCAGTACAACAAACGTCATCAGGACTGCTGTGTGTTCCTCTCACATGACTAGCATTCAAGAACATACGAATGTTCTCAACCACATGAACGGAAATGGCTTTTCACACTTATAGAGAAAGGATGACATTAAAACTACTGAGTGACAGTCTAGGCCATCGTTGTAAGTACTCCAAATTGAACTGTCTTAGTTGTATTCCTGTCAATTACTTGTCTTTCAAAGCCTACTGCACAGTGTCTAAGCACACAGGTATAGTTGCTAAATGAAGGTGATGTCTCTAGGAGAAGCAGTGGTCTAGATATGCCTGTGTGGTACACAAGCTACTTGTCCCAAAGCCTTGGATTCTGATGCCTTCCTTCCCACTCTTCAATCCACACTGCCTCCTCCCTTTCTCTTGCCTTCTTCACTGTGTGGTGTCTGTGTGCACCATGGTGTCCATGTACGTAGAGCACAGAGGTCAATGCTGGGTGTCTTTCCCTCTTGCTGTCCACCTTTCTGACAGGACCTCTCACTGAATCTGGAGCTCAATGACTAGGCTCAGCAGTGAGCCCCAAGGACTCTATTTCTGCCTTCCCAGCACTGGGAGTAGAGGTAAGTGCCACATTCCCAGACTGTGGGTGTCTGGGGCCCAAACTCTGTCCTGGAGCTGACATGGCAGATGCTTTACCAAATGCACCATCTCTCCACCTCCAGTTCTTTTTAAATTACATGCTTTCCCTAACACCTAAGCTCATCTGCCTCATTGCTCTTCAAGAATGACCTTACTTGTAGGACCCTCCTGGCTCCTTCTTTTCCTTTGTTTTTGGAGTCAGGGTCTCTCTATGCAGCTGGCCTCAGATTCAGATATTTATTTATTTATTTATTTATTTATTTATTTATTTATTTATTTAATTTTTGTCTTTTTGAGCAGGGTCTCCCTGAAGCCCTAGCTGGCCTGGAACTCACTATGTAGATCTTGATCTCAAAGATTCACCTGCCTTCCTAGAGTGCTGGGATTAAGGAGTGTGCCACTATGCCCACTTGAGCCAGTAAATAATGTAAAAACGGATTGTCGTGGTGTCACAGATCGCTTTTCTTATATGAAGAAGCTCACTGTTTTAAAAGCAGAGGTAACAGACCTGCTTCTAACACAAGTCTGTATACAGTATACATGTTATGTAAGTATCCACATTATACATAGCACATGACTTAATATACTTTACATACTGACTAGGAGATGGAAAAGAAGTGACAAACTGGTGGACTCAAATCCACCAAATTCTACAAACAAAAGTTGACTGTAGTCAGCATAAAGCAGTATGCAAAATCAGTAAGGACTGAGTTCTAAAACTGACTGTTCAATCTCTAAGCCCACATTTCTCAGTCTTTAAAATGGAGAAAAATTGCTGTCTCATCTCCCGTACAGAGCCAATGACTGATATGACGGCCAAATGGCACACAGAGCACTCTGAGGTGACACAACACTGCACCAATATCAGGTGCTGCTCCTGGGATCTGGTCATTCATGTGGGTGCTAGGATTCAAACCTGGGTCTTCTGCAAGAACCACTAGTGTTCTTAACCGCTGAGCCATCTCTCCAGCCTGTGTCCTTAGTTTTTGCATCCCTTCATATTATTTCTCCAGTCTTTAAAACACCACTGACAAACTATAACAAAAGCACTAACTTTTGATACTTTTCTAAAGGACTGACGTTCAGAGCCTTCAGGTAGAGCAGGGCTCTCCTGATCACTGCTTCCAGGTCAGGGAGCTCACATGGAGAGGGGAGGGGCTTCTTGAAGAAGGGCGAAGGGCTGAATCAGGACAGCATGGTGCAGACTGGTCAGTATGTGACTTTACGCTACTCTTACTTATCCTATTTCCTCTTCATGTGCCTTAATAGCTTTTGGTAATAAGTCTTTAGGCAGATCCTAAAGTTGGACTGTAGGAGATCTTGCTAGTCTTTGGTTGCATTCACAGCTATAACAATTACTTCACTTCTCTGTAACGACACCAACAATTATTTTCCTCAATTCTGACTGTCATGATGCATTGACCTCAAATTCACACAATTTTCAATGTGCAGATTTACTTTTCATCTTGCTGATTTCTGTCGGCAAGCTCTTCAACTGGTTACTGGAAAGATTGAGTCGCAGCAGGCTGGAGAGCGAAGCAAGACCAGCAGGCACCGCTGCTAGACGATTGCTCGAAAGATCCTTAAAGAGAAGAGAGAGTCTGTGAGTGAGCCGACACCTAAGGGATCTCAGAACCCAGAGGGGAGACCTCAGAGGGTACATACCGTGTCACCTTCATCTACCCACCTCATCTACCCACCATCTCGCAGAGCATGATTCAAAATCTGCAGGCCCACTATGTGTCCATCAATTTCATGGGCAGGAATTAGAATCAATTCCTACTTCAGAAGTTTCTAGCAAACCAGAGTCACGCTGTACCAGGCGTCCCTTTGCAGAGCACATGACAGGAAGGGAGGGGAAAGTTGGGATTAGAGGGTTAGATGGGGCAGGGGCAGGAAGACAGCAGACAGGAGGGAGTGGGGTGGTTTAACCAAAACTAACGATGCATGGGAAAGTCTTATGGAAACCCACTGCTGTGTGAGATAGTAAAAATATAATTAAAGGGGCTGGATAGTTGGCTCACTTCTCAAGTTATTTTTGGCAAGGCAGAGTCTTTCAGAGGGAGTGCCTTATGGTGAGGTCTTACTCTCCTCTGCCCTATGAAGTAGAGAAGGAATGTGCTGAGGCAAATTGACGTGATTCAATCTTAATTTTGTTCTTTATTAGAAAAAAATTTCCTCTTTTTTGTAAGCCTTGGTTTCCTATTGTATTAAGGGTCAGATCTACATACTCTGCCATAAAAAAATCAATGCAAAGCGTTTTAAAAGTGTTATTACAGGGACAGGTATCCACACACATTTAATCCCAGCACTTGAAAGACAGGGACAGGTAGATACCCCTGAGACAAGACCAGCCTGGTCTACATAATGAGACCCTGCCTCAAAACAGAATCATTCAAAGAATTATTAAAATAAAATTTGCATTGCCATATGGCTCTTTCTACTTAAGAGAAGCAAACAGATGGCATGGAAGTTTTGTCAGGAAAGGTGACCAATTTGAAAATTGGGGGACGGGGGAGGGGCGCAGGGCATGGTGGACACATCTTTATCTCAGCTCAAGAGATGGAGGCAGGCAGATCTCTGTGAGATTGAGGCCAGCCTGGTGAGGTTCCAGGCCAGTTGGGGCTACAGAGAGACCCTATCTCAAAGGAAAAAAGAAAAATAAAAAAATAGGGGAGAGGTAAGCATTGAAGAGATTAAATACTCAGGGCAATCTCAAGAAGGAGATCAGCAGAGGGTAGGAAGGACCTGGCATGCTGCAGACAGCACTGCTCTGCTAAGCCACAAAGCTCCTGAATAACAACCACACCTGAAGGAATGACTTTTACATAATGACTTTTACCTAACCTTTCAACAAAAAAGTTACTGTTTATAATGTAAACAAGCTCACTGAGCCAGGGGCTCCTCTTTTGACGGGGCACCTAACCTTAGTCCCACAGACACTACTTTGCCCTCCATCCAAGACAGTGAGTGAAAGTGGGTGTGCCGGTTTAACATGGCAAAGTGCTGGAAGCAGTGTGGTGTTCTCACCGAAAACAGTAAGAATTGAGAAGTCCAAGTTCTGTGTCTATTTTAGATCTAGGGATCAAAGGCAAGATTCTCTGACAAGGTGAGGATGGATCCCAGCTTCTGTTTTGCCAACTCAAGCTGAAGAAACTGCTTGAATAGAAGAATGAGTGAAGCCTGTCTGGGGAGGGAGGGAGGGAGGGGTGAGCTCAGTCCTCTTGGCCATGAAATGAATGCTAAGAGCAAGGCTGCTTCTTCAGGTCTAACTGTAACGCAGCCTAGGGATGCAGCAGTCATTTCCCGGTCCCTCTCCCAGACTCTTCCTGAATTATGACTCCAAGTTTATCACTAACTCAGAAGACCAAGTTTACAGTGACTAATTTAGCAATCTAACTGAAATCCACAAGTGCTGATAGTCCACTCATAAAATCAGCTGTCCACGCCCTACAGTCTGAATCACACCTTCATTATTCTGCCCAGTGAAAAATCCTATTAGTCCCAAATCAGAAAAGTCAGAGAATCACAACTTACTAAATCTTCTAAACTGGAAAGGCGTTCGAAGCCTTCAGGAATGCATGTGAGTTCATTGTGCTGCAGATGCAGGGCCTTCAGGTTCTTTAGGTTTGTAATTTCTTCAGGAAGCATTTTCAGCTTGTTATGGCTATTGGTTAATAAAACAAACGCTGAGTAATTCAGCAGGCAGCACAAAAGATAGTCATCACTTTTGTCAACCAACTAGATGGCTCATTATAATAAAGCACATAATGCTACTCGCTTAAATATTTCTCAAAATTCACATCTCTAAAATATATACTCATCCAAAATAGTCTAAAATAACCAAATTAGGGTTTAAAAGGAAAGCAGCAAAGAATAAGATTTTTAGGTAAGGATAAATCATTTGTAAGCTTTTATTGCTTGCCTATAATCTGTTCTTGATTTAACGTGTAACACAAAAAGGATTTACTGGGCTCAAAGATTTTTATATTGCACCTGGCTATTAGAATTTGGAGAAAAAAATAGGTTCACATACACATTACAGTGGAGTATATATAGCAGTTGGGTTTTAAACAGCATTTGAGACAAACGTAGTCATTTCTGTTTGCTGTATGTGAGGTTGAACCCTCTAAGGGACACTCAGCTTACTGATGCAGAAGTTCCAGGGAGGACAGTACACTTCCAGGAATTAAGAAATGAAAGAACAGGTCCCCAGGTGTGTCACAACTTAACTATTCACTTATGAAATCCATCCTATTTTATTACCAGTCAGTTCACACATAACAGGGGAAATGAACTATTAGGGGTTTTAGAATAATCCTGTTACATCAAAATAAAACTTGGTAAACAAAAGGCCAAAAAATGTTTTATAAAATATAAACAGGGGGCTGGAAAGATGGCTCAGTAGGTGAGAGTGCTTACTGCTCTTACAGATAACTCAGGATTGGTTCCCAGCACCCACGTCAGGTAGCTCAAAACCATCTGTAACTCCAGTTCCAGGGAAACTGATACTCTCTGGCCTTCTGCACACACATGGTGCACCACTCACAGAGGCAAAGACTCATACATGTAAAATAAAATCCTTTTTTCTTTTTGTATTTTTGAGACAGGGTCTCCCTGTAGCCCTAGCTGGCTTGGAACTCACTATGTAGACTAGGCTGGCCTTGAACTCACAGAGATCTGCCTGCCACTGCCTCCCGAGTGTTGGGGAAATAAAATCTTTTAAAAAGTATTTTTTAAAATAGGCGAACAAGGGGCTGGAGAGATGGCTCAGTGGTTAAGCACCCTGGCTGCTCTTGCAGAAGGCCCAAGTTCAATTCCCAGCACCTACATGGCAGCTAGCAAACGTCTGTAACTTCAGTTCTAGGGGAATCTGACACCGTCTCCTGACCTCCACAGGCAATGCACGACACGGGTGCACTTAGATGCATAAAGGCAAGACACTCGTACACATAAAATAAAATAGTAAACATCTCTTTGACTACTGAAAGGCTGGGCTGAAATCAGGCAACCTGACGGGGCAGTTCCAGTCACCTCTCCTTTTGGCGCTCTCTTTCTTACCTAAGCCTTCCATCCTGAATGACACCCTTAGCTGTTGCCATCTAAGCAGAGGCCACCCCACTCCACACTCCTTTCCTCTTCCCAGTCTCTGCTCCTGCCTTGGAGGCCCCGATGCCTCTGGCTTATAGGGAAGAGGCTCTGATGCAGTTCTAAATTAATATGGCCCATGTGCAGCATTTCTGCTACTGCAAAGTTTTCAGCACAGTTACTTTAGGAACTATTTTCCCCTGACCCAGTTTTAATACCAGGAAACACACTAGCCTATATTATGTGCAATAGATCTATAACTAAATATATATTATAAACAACTTTTTATGAACTGCTTTGACAACCTCTTGTTTGTTTTTTCAGAAGAACCTCCTCAGTATTTCTCATTTTTCTCTATATAGCTCAAGTAAGGCAGACATTCTTTCTTAAAAATATGGAACTGGAGGGCTGGAGAGATGGCTCAGCGGTTAAGGACACTGACTGGTTCTTGCAGAAGACCCAGGTTCGAATCCCAGCACCCACATGGCAGCTAACAACTGTCCGTAACTCCAGTTCCATCCCTGGACACCCCAGCCTCTTCTGTCCTCCATGGGTACTGCATGACACGGGTGCACTTATACCTACCTACACACACACACACACACACACACACACACACACACACACAAAATGGCTCAGTGGTTACTGACTGGATCTTGCAGAAGACCCAGGTTCGATTCCCAGCACCTACATGGCAGCTACAAACCGTCCTTAACTCCAGTTCCAGGGGAATCCAACGCCCTCTTCTGACCTCCGCAGCGTTGCACAACATAGGTACACTCACATACATACAGGCAATGCACTCATACACATAAAATTTTTAAAAAGTGTTATTAAAAAAATATGGAGATGGAGAGACAGCTCAATGGTTAGGAGTGTGTACGGCTCTAACAAAGGACCCAAGTTCAGTTCCCAGCTCCACGGCTCTGACACCTTCTTTTGGCCTCTGCAGACACCTGCACTCACATGCACACACTCCAACATTGACACATACATATAATTTAAACATAAATCTGTTTTTAAAAATCTGGATATGTATTGGGGGCAAAAGATTAGCTATTGCCTGTGTCACCTTGTCTCACACGCACTTACCAATGCCACACCAGAAACATGTCTACGGAAGCTCAGAGGTTCTTGGGAGCGTTTACTACCAATATTCAAAGTCATGAAGGCTCAGTTGTCTAGAATGCATGAAACCCTGAGTTCACCAAGCACCACAAAAACAAAGTGCTAATGAAGAATTGATGTTTCTAAGCTAGTGTTAAGACGGAGAGGTGTGTGTGTGTGTGTGTGTGTGTGTGTGTGTGTGTGTGTCAGGGTCTCATTATGTAGCCCCAGCTGGCCTAACTTACTATAAAGACCAGGCTGAATGCAAACTCACAGAGATCCGCCTGCCTCTATCTGTAGAGTACTGGGATTAAAAGCATGTGTCACCGTGCCCAGCTTCTAGATATTTTTTAGACTATCAAAGAGATTTTCTAAAATAAGAGCCAACAGCGTCTCATAAACAGAAAACGGTTTTAAAAATCACAGGTCTTGAATTTACAAAATGAAAAGGGATGCAACAAATTCTAAAACCAAACCTAAAGACAAGTATGTTGGGTACAGTCCCAGAAACGTAGGAGTTGAGGCAGGAGGACCATGTGAGCAGAGTAGTTTGAAAACAGCAAGACTCCTCCCCTTAATCTAAGAATCAAGACTTGAAGTTCTTATTCTCCCTTAGCCACTCTCTGAGGTAACACAAGACCTTTTCTTTCCCTGGTGTTGGGGATCAAAGTCCAGAGTCCGGCAGGCACTCCATGCCAGCTTCTCCACCAAGCCACAATCCAGCCCCTGCCAAATTTTCTAATGTGAGGAAAAAAGCCTTAAAGAATATTAGGTGTGTACCACTATAACTGTAATTCTAGAAATAAGTTTAAACTTTACCTGGCATTAAGTTTCTGAAGATTCTCTAGCTCTTTGATAGCTGACGGGAGGGATGTCAGCTGATTATCATGTATCTGAAATGATTACAAGACCAAATTTCAATGTCCTTAAGTTCCACAGTCTCACAGAACTACAGTCTTTTAAAAAACATTTTACTATTTTTATTTTATGTGTATGCACATATGACTGCATGTAGGTAAGTGCACCCATGTCGTGCAGTGCCTGCAGAGGTCAGAAGAGGCTGTCTGATCCCCTGGGATTGGAGTTACTGCCATGTAGGTGCTGGGATTCAAGCCCGGATCTTCTGCAAGAACAACCAGTGTTCTTAACCGCTGAGCCATCTCTCCAGCCCCCAGAACCATGCAGTCTTCAAGGCAAAAAGAACCTTATTTTGTCAAAGACAAAATTCCTCCAGGAATTTCACTATTTACATCCAATATTACCACATATGAACTGAAGGGTTTTGACATCGCTAAAATGCACTTAAATGTCTATCGATTCCGAGAGAACGCCTCATATTATGCTTTATCATATGACATGACACCGGCAGTTACAAACTGATTCAATAATAAAAAAGCAAAACATGAAGCTCAATGGTTCAAGTCAATGAGGCTGAAAGCAAGCTACAGAACAAAGACCAAAGGTCCCCAAGCACCTCACGTCCAGTACTTTCTCTGATGCCTAGAATAAGAGACAGCAGTAAGGTGACAAGAGGAGCCAGTGAGGAGAGGCCCTGTGCTGACTGCGGTCCACACTGACTCAGCCCCTCCATGAGCTGGGCGACTCCTGCGAGCTGGGCGACTGTGTCCGTCCTGTGGACAGCTGTGCGAGGTGAGGCACAGACTTGACTTCCCAGTCATACTGCTGTGAGAGGCAAAGTTAAACCTTGTGTTCTGAGCTGGTACTGCCTGGTTACTCCTACACTATATACCTTGCTGTTTACCCTTGCATTCTGCAAATCCAAGAAGGGATCTGCTTACCAAAGCCTAAACTTAGCTCCCGAGTCTCTGCAACTAAAAGCCCATAATCACAGTCAGCTTACATCAAGAACAGTAAGAGCAGGTAAGAGGCGGAGGTCATCCGAGAGAGACTGGAGTTTATTACTGGAGATGATGAGTTTCGTGAGATCCGTTTGCTCCCACCATCGGTCAGTGGAACTGAACGAGAGATTCTGATTTGCCTCTTCAGGAACATCCACATTGATTCTCCAAACACACTGAGGTACTATGTTCATCACCATAAATCAAAGAGAAAAGGAAAAAAAGAGATTTGAACTGAATGGTAAGTAATGAACTTTTATAATACTCAGTTTACACATGGAAACAAACCAAAAAAACAGAGCCAGCGAGACGGCTCAGTCAGCAACAGCATTTCTACCCAGTCTGACAGCCTGAGCTCTAGTCCTGAAACCCACATGGTAAAGAGAACCACCTCCCACAGGCTGTCCCCGGACTTGCAAGGACACATACACAAACACATACGTACACACTTTATACAGAGTAACAAAATGCAAAATTATTATTTAAGTCCAATAAACCAAATATCAACAAATTACAGCCAAGTAATTTTTAAGTTTATTTTATTGAACGGCAATATGTATTTTACATGACACTCTGGATTTCATCTCCAGCACTGAGAAACAAACCACAACACCAAAATCTCCTAACAACTCTGTGAGGTAGGTAGAGTCACTAGTCCCAGTCGGTAGATGAAAAAATGAGACATAAAGAAAATGTGTAACTTGCTCAGGATTCAAGTGCTGGTGCTAGAGCTGTGCTCTGACCCTGGCACAGCCATCTGCCTTACCTTCCATTACCGTAAGGTGGCCAAGATCTGATGCTGGCTGCCAGCCTACATCTTATAGATGCATCATTTTCTTACTCCACCACACAAAACTGTGTTATTCTGTTGTAAGAAAAGTCCATTCCTATAATTTGGTAAATAAAGCTGTATGGAGGTTGGACAGGAGTATCCACTGTCACTGTAAAGCTGAGGCTCCACAGAGCACCTGCCACGATGGGCAAAGCCTAGCATTGCAAAAAAACCAACAAAAACGTGAATTTCCAGGAAAAGCTTATGATAGGGTGCAGCAAAACTATTCCTACACTACGGCAGCCACAGTAGAAAGACCACATTCCTGGGGAAAGGCAGGACTGATGCAGGGATGATGTAGAACCTGGAGCTGACGGTAATCAAGGCAATCACTGGCTCTGCCCAGCCTTCACTATCATTTCAAGCCCAGCAGAGAGACTTTCCAGGACGGTGGAACAGAGGCTGCCCCGTGAGCCTGTGAAGGAGCTGAAGGAAGGAAAATGGTTTCATCCCAAAGCAGGAAACGGAGGGAGAGCTTCAGAGAGCCATAACAGAAGAGCAGGGGCACAGGAAAAGTGAACACCGGCCCTACACAGAGGACAGTGGACACGGCCCAGAGCCTCTTCCAAAAGGTAAGTCTTTTGGCTTACTGGGCAGTCCCACTCTGAGACAAGCCAGGAGAATACTGGGCAGTCCCACTCTGAGGCAAGCCTACCTCCAAGCCCAATCAGCTACAAATCTAGCAATGGGTTCTGGAAAGACGATGATTCCTGCAGAGGATGAGTAGGCACGGAAACATCCCACTTTACATACGACGTAACACATAACTGAAGGGCAAGGCTAGGGCCACTTGTTAAATACTAAGCTACCCCAGGGGCCTGAGAACAGAGAATAGTCACATGTTAGGGCCCTCAACTTGGCCTGCCAGTCCCTGGTTGAGGCAAGGCCCAGAGAGGCAGTTGTGGGAATGGCAGAACAGACACTGATGAGCTAAAGGGCAGCTTCCTCAACACAGTCCTACCCTCAGTGGCCAGGAACATATCTGATTACTGAACATATCTGTCTCCTGAGCCGGAGGCCAGAAGACAGATCAAATTCTGCAGCCATTTATCTGTTAGTCGCGGCTATAGAGCTCAAGAACACTGAAGATCCAGGGGTGCACTCGATGGCCACAGTGGCTTCCCCCAGCAGAGTGACTGATACTCAGAAGACCTTGGAAGTACTGAGGCAGGTCCTCTGCCTGCTTCGGTCTGAGGAAGGCTGCTTCCTACACTTCCAATACACTTGAGAGACACTCCTCAGCTAAAGCAGCCACCTCAAAGGATACAATATTTGGGGGAAGAGGTCTACGGAAGGTCAGTAACCTGCCCAACCCAGACTGCAAAACTAAGTGTGGTCAGCACAGGGCCCTGATAGGAACAGCGAGGACAGCTCTGGCTGGCATCAGACACCTTCTTGGATAGATGAGGCATCTGCATGACCCAAAGGAAAGACAAGCCCACAGTTCAAATGCACCCCCCACTTCTGCCCTCGATCCACACATGGAACTGACAGTTTTCAACTTTTGAGGACCCAGAAAAGAAGCTGTTCGACATGTTTTCTTTTCTACGTGTGGCAGGACTTTTCTTACTTACTTACTTTGAAATCATGTCTGTTCTGTTAATCCTCTTCACACATCTAATTGTACACATTACTTTCCATTTTCCTTCCTTGTATGTTTTTGCCTTGTGTTGTTGCCCCTACCCCCATTTAGTAATATTTTGACTTTAGTGACTTTTTCAAAAACTACTCTTGGGCTGGGGAGATGACTCCAGGAGCACCTGTTGCACAAGCACGAGTTCAAATCCCCAGAACCCATGTAAAAATTTGAGCATGGTCCTGTGTACTTGGAACCTCAGTGCTGTGGGGAGGCAGAGAATGAGGATCACTGGGGCTTGCTGGCTACCAGTCTAACTCAAGATCAATGACGGAGCAGGACACCAGACACCCTCTGGCCTCTGCCTGTACATACACCATATACACTCTAACACACAAAGAAGTGAATAAAAATACTCATTTTGAAAGTTTTATTCCCTTTCTTACATGTATCTAATTTTGAGTTTCTTGCTTTGGGTCAATCGTTTCCCTTTTTCTCACTTCCTGCTCCTTTCTTGTCCCTTCTCCCGTCCCCTACTGCTGCCTCTGCAGCTCCCCTCCTCCCCGTCCCTTCCTTTGCCATATTCACTTAGCTTCAGCTCCTTCCACAGCGCTCTGCCATTCCAGCTCCATGAAGCTGGTGAGGTACGAACGGAAAGGGCCTCGTGAGTGCCAGTCTACAGTGTGATGGTGATGGGGCCACAGCAGTGCTCCTTTCCTTGGTGATGGTACCAGAAACTGAGCCTTCAAGAACAGTCTACTCTACATGAAGACCTCCTCCCCCAAATTCTAGAAGAGACTGCCAACACATATGAAACTTCCAACACAGAGACGGAAGAAATATGAAAAACCAAGACACCATGACTCCTCAAAGAGACCTCCTCCTTACAGAGATCGAAATGGGCAACATGTCACCAAGACTTCAAGTTCTCTAGTTAAAAACATTATCAGTAAATTGCAAGAGAATACGAACAAGCAGATGAATTCAATCCACACCTTAGAGAAGAGTAGGCAACAAAGAAGAAAAAGTCAGCGAAACAGATGAAGACACCACAATATGGACAGAAGTTAGCAACATGGAAGAAAAATCCAGAAAGGAAATGAGAACAATCTATACCACTTAGTGTAATCAAGACAGTTCCTTGCAGGCATGCCTACAGGCCACCTATGCTGACCCTGAGAAGCAGCAGCTTCCTACAGTCACACCGCAGCACAGAAGGCCTCTCTCCGATGGCGCTAACCTATCAAACTGTAGTTGCTTTTCCAGCACCAGTGTGAATGCTCTCTGGTCCTGAAATTTCCGCTCCCAAATAATCAGCCCACTATCTGCAGTTCAACTCCACAGGTTCTCTGAACACAGGCAGGAGGAGGCCACATTTTCGAGTCTTTATGAACCTCAAGAGACAGCCTCCACCACCTGCTGCTCTCTCAGCATGCTTACCCGCCAAGGCTCCCACGAAAATGGCCCATTAAACTCTGTCCACAGCATTCAATGGCTTTTCTCAAGTTGCAACCTCTTTCGCATTTCAGTCATAAAACAGTGTTGTTAAGGACCAGCCAAGAGGCTGGAGAGAGGTCTCAGTGGTTAAGAGGGTGTACTGCTCTTCTGACCTGAGCTCAATTTGCACCAGCCACATCTGGCAGCTCACAACTGTAACTCCAGCTCCTGGAAGGAGTCAATGCCCTCTTCTGGCCTCCATGGGCACTGCATGACGCGGGTGCACTTACATACATACAGGCAGAACACTCATACACATGAAATAAGAATAATTTTTAAAACGAACCAGTGTGTGTGTGGGGGGGGGTTAAGAGCATGTACTGTTAGGAGCATGTACTGTTCTTCCATAGGACACGCGTTCAATTCCCAGCAACCACATTGATTGTCGGGCAGCTCACAACCACTTCTATCTCCAGTTCCTGGGGGATTCAACACCTCTGACCTCTGCTAGCACCTGCACTCACATGCATGCGCACGCGCGCGTGCAGGATCGCAGTCACTCATTAACAGTTTGCAGGCTTGTGCTTGCGGGTCATGAGCCGGTTTCTCGGCATGGTCTCAATCCTGAATTGCAACCTAGAAGATAGGCTCATGATTTGTCACCGGCCTTCTTCCCCGCTGCAGACAGAAAGTGGTCTCCGCAAGCAAGGGAGACATTCGTTCGATGCTCACAAGAGCGCTGGGAGGAACCCTTAGAGAAGATCTAAGTGAGAGGACGAAGGAGAGGGAAGACAAGTTATCTGCCCGAGCTCCTTTGCTTGCACGCCACACGGACACAGCGTATCCAGTGTTCTGCAGGTATCCCAGCTGGGCCCCGGCTGCGAGCGGCGGCGCCGATAGAGGCGGGGTCGGGGGGTCGGGTAGGGTCGGAGAGGAGAGGAGGGGAGGCGCGGGAAGGAAGCGCGGGGTCGGGGTCGCGGCGCGGAGGAGGCCCGGGTCCGGGTCGGGGTCGCGGCGCCGAGGAGGCCCGGGTCGGGCCCGCGCAGGCCCAGGCAGGCTCGCGGGCGGCCTCACCTTCCCCGAGGTTCCTTCCGGCCAAGTTGAGCTGGCCGCTACTCCGCGCCGCCTTCAGCAGCCCCTGGGGCACAGACGGGGGCCCGTCACCGCCGTCCGCACGGAACCCCACCCGAGAGCCGAGCCCCGCAGCTCTCCGCAGGCGCGACATATTCAAACAGTGTGTCCGGAAGCAGCGGGCGTGCCCGTGACGTCTAAACGCCGCGCCACGGCCGGCCCGCCCTGGCCCCGCCCCTTCCGGCGCGCCAGGCCCCAGGCCTTCGCCGTGGCTGATGTCGTCACCGCCAGCTCCCGGGGCCGCAGCACCGAGCAGCGCTTCCGTGGCTCGCGCCGGCCGAGCACCCCGGAGAGACTTCTTTCGGGTAAGCACGTCTAGCGGCCCGGGAGGCCGTGTGCGCGGTGTGGGGACCAGCCGGGACTGCGCTACCCGCCGCCTGGCCGGACGTGGCGGCCGCGGGACCTAGGCGCGGCCTGCGGCCTGCGCGGTCGGTAGAGCCGGGGACGGAGAGCTGGAGACGGAGGGGGGGATGAGGAACGGGAGGACACAGAGCTGGAGATGGGGGCGGGAGGAGCGGGCCCACAGCCTCCACGCTTTAGGATTGTGAGTACTAGGTCTAGGTCTTCCACTCTCAGAGGAGTTGGGACAATTAGATCGAAGTTTCGTGCTTTTCACCCTCTGACATTGACCGTTGAAAATTATATTTCATTGCTTTGATTTTTATGCACGTGTGTGCACACGCAGGTGTGGAAGTCCGAAGGACAGCCGGATGGAAGTCAGGTCCCTAGCTGTGCCTGCACGCCCAGCTGGAGGGAGTTTTACCCTAACCGCCTTTCCCCCTCCTGGGGACCTGTAGTGTTGGTTGGAAAGTAGGACAAGGCAATCTGACGCATTCTGCGTCACAGGCAGTTTCACCGGAATCGTGCTGTATGTAGAATTCGATTTTTAACACCCTTCGGGTTTCTTCCTGGTTCAGCCGAGTCCCCCCATGTGAGTCCCATGTGCTAAGGGGAATGTGGAGGAGGGACCAATAGTCCACTCTACTAAAGAAAAGAATGAGATTGTAAAGGAGCGTCTTAGCAAGGCCATTAACAAGTCCTTAGTCAGTTGTCTGGACGCCCTGATCTCAGCCTTACTAAATGTTATGCTCGGTGGTAACAAAAACACTACTTTTTATTCAGTATGACCACCGGTTCTGCAGGTGAAGAATTGAAGCTAAAATTTGCTAAGAAACTTCCATGATCATAAGTTTCCACGAGTAGCATGTTGAACCTAGATGTCTCCAGAGCCTGTCCTCTTAACCAGTATAACTTGAGGGGGGAGGGATGTTTAGTAATTCCAATTTGCTTTTATTCTTGAACCATTTCAGAGCACATTTCAGTTATTTGGGTTTTTTTGTTGTTGTTTTTTTTATTGTTGCTGCTGTTTGTTTTTTAAGACTGGATCTAGTAATGTAGCCCTGGCTGACTGGGATCTCTTTATGCAGACCCTGCGGGTCTCTGACTCAGAGATCAACCTACCTCCGCCTCCTGAGTACTGGGATTGAAGCCACTCCTGGCTTCAATTATTTTAAAAGAGATTTGTTTAAGAAAACCTTTTTAAATAAGTAACAGTCTACTTTTAGAGAATGGATTACTTAAAAGGTTGTTCCTTCATTCAACCTTTGAAAATAAGAGCACTTCAACTCATGGTGCCTCTGCTCGAGATGCGTTATTGCCGATTCTAAAAGCATGTCCTCAGATGCTGCTCTATTTTGTATAAGATGCACATTCGTTTACTGACAAAGTCTGAAAAATGTCAAGTGGCTCTGTCTGTCTGTCTGTCTATCTATCTATCTACTATCTATCTTATCTATCTATTCTATCAATCATCTATCTACCTATCATCTATCTATCATCTGTCTATCTCTCTCTGTATAAAAGCCTCTCTAGTAAATAAAAAAATTAAGAAACCAAAACCCTGTTGAGCAGAAGAATCACCATCACCTGGAAATGCTATTCTGTTTCCTGATAGAAAGTAGGATGTTACCGTAGAAGGATGGAGCTGTGCGTTCTAACCCTCACAATTCAGCAGCACATTTCCAACGTGGCTGTGTCACTCACGAAAATTTTCGAAGGTGAATGCTACAATTGATAATGGATTTATTGAAATAAGTAATTTTGATTGTAGAAAGGGAAATAGAAGTTAATTTGTGCAGATTTTTCAAGCACACTTGTTTTCAAAATAAAAAGTGAACATGTTAGCAGTTACTCAAAAGTTTATGTAAAGTAACACATTTATCATATTTTGGATCAGTGTCTTTATTTTTCAGAATATTGCCTTATCTGTGAGAGTGCTATCTTCTGTGAAATGTTACAGAGAAAACATTTTAATTATCTTTAAAATAACTGCTGACTTATAAAAGTTGTCAGTAAAACAGTCCTTGCTGTCTCTGCATATTTGGTATGTTTAATCCTCATTACAAATGTGTCCTTGAATTGTATTTTGTTGTTATTAGAGGTGTGGGCATTTGGTTTTGATGGAGAAATGTGTTGTGTTTGGGATTTTTGTATATTTGTTCCCACTCCTTCTCTCCTGCTTGTGAATTGTGAAGCAGACAGTTCTAGGACATCAACATGATTCTAATACACGGTCTGACAGTCTTCTCTACCTTCAGCATAGAGCAGTTTTAGTTCACCAGCTTCAGGAAAATACGATTTGCATTTCCTTTTCTAGAAAGGTTTTTAAATTGTCAGTCCTTTTTTCTGGAAAAGTGGAGGGACTATTGAATTTTTTAAATGTATTTATTTTATGTGTATGAGTGTTTTGCCTGTGTGTATGTAAGTGTGCCTATGTGTGCTGCCCTCGGAGGCCAGAGAGGGTGTTGGATCCCTTGGAACTGGAGTTACTGATTGTTGTTAGCCGCCATGTGTGTGCTGGGAACTGAGCCCTGGTCCTTTGTAAGAGCAGCCAGTGCTCTTAACCACTGAGCCTCTCTCCAGCCCCACCAGTGAATTTTTTTAAATGTTATCCTAAATGTTTTTGTTTTTCTTGTTCTGTTATTTTTTTCATTCTACTAAAATTAAAAGAAGACAAAGAAGTTGAAACCTGGGTAGAGATGAGCCAGTGGTACTCATATCAATTAACTAAAAGCATGTCATTGTTGTTCTGAAAACACCTGACTGTATGTCCTGTCATTCCTGATGATGCTTATTCCCAACGGTCAGTAACAGTGTTCTTATTCTTTTTTCTAAGATTAATATTACAAACCTTAAAGTATTGCTCTTAATATTGACTGTGTGACACAAATTTTGGCAGAGGCTTTCCATTAGTGAAATAATACAGAGATAGAATAAGACATGACATGGTCTCTGAGACACTTAGTGTCAGTTTAGAATAATTAGAAAAGTATAAATAAATTGCTTGTTCATTAACTAGCATTAAGCATTGAAGTTGAATACTGATTTCTAGACTACATTTATAGTTCTTAGTTTGATGAACATGACTTTACCTTTCAGGACAGTTTCATGATAGTCCACAATTTTTTTTTCAAACTTTAGGTTTTTGTTTTTTTTTCTCATTGTTGAAAATATCAGAGTGACAGTTATTGCCAGGCATGGTGACTCATGCTTGTCCATCTCAGTGCTTGGAGGCTGGGGCAGGAGGGTCACTATGAGTGTGAGTCCAGTCTGGGCTACATAGTGGGTTCCAGATCAGCCTGGGCTGCTCCATGAGAGACTGTCTACTCAAAACAAAAATCACAGTTAATGGACTTAGATAGTTGAAAGTTACTTATTATGAGGTATTGCGATGTGCTAGTGAGCATTTAAAGGTGATGCAAGTGTGGAAGCTCACTTTGCTGTTCATCATTCTAGAAATACCCCCTTTTCCTGTCACACTCGGTTTACCTACCACCAAGAGAGAGTACCATTCATCCCATCTCAGAAATGTTGACCTTGCTTTTCTACTCCTTATTTCCTAGAAGTGTCACCACCACCTCTGTCCTTCCAGGGACTTGCTGTCATCTGGTGTTTGAGGCTTTAGTCTGAGCCAGTTGCTGCTTGAGAGGAACTGAGTGAGCGGTGGCCACTGGGCAGAAGCCTGATGGCCTTGACAGATTGTGTTCTGTGCTTGATCTTTGCTAGGACCTGAAATTTCAGTCCATGTTTGTTTGTGCTCTGATCATTTGAGTTGTGCCATGTGCCTTCCTAGCTGTTAAAGATAAGCACGCATGTTTCTCTTTAAGAACAACACTCGGTGCTCTGAAAGCATAATGAGCAGTGAAAGCCTAGAAGTCGTCCATTAAAGCACTCGGTTCACTGGAAGCTGCTCCTTAGCAGTTGTCTTCCTGTATGTGGGTCACCACCTCACTGGACATTTCAGGTCTGCTCCTGGCAATCACTGCCAGGTAGAGGGAGGCAATCTCTCCAAGAAAAGGAGTTTGCTTCGTTTGTATCTTTACTATCACTTAGTGGTTTATAAAACACTTTTAACTTCTAACAACATTAATCTAGCTTACAATTTTAACATTAGTATTTTCTTTAGTAAGTTGATGTATGTTAAATGAGAATCTTAAAACATAGATTAACTTCTAATTCGTATCTTCCATGTGATTGATAAAGTAAAATTATCCCAGGGTATCACCACTCTAAAAGAGAATAACAATATAAAATGAAGTTTACTTGGAGATAACTGTTCATTTGTCAAAATGAGAGGGTTTTGTCAGCTAATAGGGAAAGCTATGAGCCCTTCCTAGTTTAGAGGTTCTCACAATCATTAGGACAGGTGATAGCAGAGTAGACAGTGTAAATAACAACTTTGAGATGAGATACCAGGTTGGCTTTGTGGGTTTTTTTTTTAATATGTTACTTATTATTTTATATGTATGCATGTATTGCCTGCATGTGTAAGTGCACCCATGTCATACATTGCCCACGGAGGTCAGAAGAGGGCACTGGATCCCCTAGAACTGGAGTTCTAGATGGTTGTTAGCCCCCCGTTTAGGTGCTGGGAATCAAACCTGGGTCCTCTGCAAGAGCAGCCAATGCTCTTAACCACTGAGCCATCTCTCCAGCCCCTTTGTATTTTTTAAGTCCTGGCCTGATCCCCAAAAATTAAGCAGTGGGACCCATGCACTAGGGAGCTGGAGGGCAGGGGATGTCTGGACCTTGCTGGCCAGCTAGTGTAGCCAAATCGGTGAGTACCTG